TTATTTCCCATAAGATGATCCACACAGGGGAGAAGCCGTTTAAATGCTTGGAGTGTGGAAAGACATTTACCCATGGCAGTGGACTTAGAGACCATAAAAAGCTCCACACAGGAGAGGAACCATATAAATGCATGGAGTGTGGAAAGAGATTTTCTCGTCGCAGTGGACTTAGAAGCCACAGAAAGCTCCACACAGGGGAGAAACCATATGAATGCATGGAGTGTGGAAAGACCTTTGCTCAAAGTAGTCATCTTATTTCCCATAAGATGATCCACACAGGGGAGAAACCATTTAAATGCATGGAGTGTGGAAAAACATTTGCTCGAAGAGATCAGTTTATTTCCCATGAAAGGATCCACTCAGGAGAGAAACCATATAAATGCATGGAGTGTGAAAAGACGTTTACTCGTGGCAGTGATCTTAAAAGGCACAAAAAGACCCACACAGGAGAGAAACCATTTAAATGTACGGAATGTGGAAGGTCCTTTGCTCGTAGATATACACTTATTTCCCATAAGATGATCCACATGAAAGAAGCCATATAAATGTACGGAATGTGGAAAGACCTTTGCTCATAGATAAAATGTTATTTCCCATTAGAAATTAGGTGAAGGAATATTATTGTTATGTAGGAATTAAATACAAAGAGGGTTAAAAATTAGAAACATGTTGATACAATTAACAGAAGTATAAATTAGCTAATACAAGAAATGAGTTGAAATTATTTTGTTACACCATCATTATTGTTACTAGTATATATGTTGATATTCATTTGTTTTCTTTTTCATAAATGATATGCCCTGACAATATACTGTATTTAAAAAGTTTATGAATAAAACATATACTCAAATAAAATAGAATAAAATGCATGGAATGTGGAAAGAGTTTTGCTCAGAATGGTCATCTTACTTCTCATAAAAGGATCCACGCTCATGACTATAAAGCAATAGCAATTCCACTTAGACTTATATACCACTCCACAATGCTTTAGCACACTCTGTGCAGTTTACAAAGTCATCTTATTGTCCCCAGCAATCTGAAAAAAGTATATAGATTCTTAGACGGCTTGAGATGGTGGCAAGATAACAGATTAACAGAGTTGGTAGGGATCCTGAAGGTCATCTAGTCCAACCACTGTCGGTGTTCTCCGAGGAAAGGAGCGGGAAGCGGAGGAGAAACACACAAGATCCAGGGCAAAACTCTTTGAAAACAAAGAGGCCTTTCCTCTCTTTTACTCTTGATCTGCTGCAGGCCTTGTTTAGCAGTGAGCAGAGGCCTAAAGCACTGCAGTGTGAGATCAATAGTGCTAGATTTCCCACTACTGATCACGCGTATCTCTCACTACTCTTTTTTCTGCAAATGCACTGAAGTAGGCAAGGGAACCGATGGCTCGCCACATCGTCGCAAGATACTGTATTTTTCAGACTATAAGACGCCCCTAGCTTTAGAGAAGCAAAACAAGAAAATAAAAGTTTTTGGCCTCCGCACATCTCATTTTTGCCCCCCCTCCCTCCCCGGCATCCAGAAGCACTCTCCGTGCCAAAAACGGACCCATATTTGGCCTCCCAAACCCTCTGTGTATCCTGTTCTCAGCCTCCCTGATGCTGGGGAGGGCAAAAATGGGACATGCGGGTGCCTCCGGAGACCAAAAGTGAGCCCGTTTTTGCCCTGCAGAGTGCTTCTGGATGCCAGGGAGGGCAATAACGGGACACGCTTAGGGTTTGGGAGGCCAAAACAGGGCCCGAATTCACTCTATAAGATACACAGATATTTCCACCCACTTTTTTGGAGGGGAAGAAGTGCATTTTATAGTAAGTCCCTGCAAGATGGGGTGGGGGAATAAGGCAAATATTGTAGGGCCTCTACTGTCATTCGTAAATGTGAATGACTGTGCAGCTACAACACTGATAAATTTTGGGACTGGGTCTCAATACTTGGGGGAGAAATGGTTGTAACTTGGAACGTTCGCTAAGTGAACTGTGGTAACTTGAGGATTACTTGTATCCTAGGGTGCTCTGAGTCACACTGCATGAGGCCTTTGTTCTTGAATTGGATTGGGAGAGTGATCTTCCATGGACTGAGCATGAAAGTTCTGTTCTCACACAATTTGGGAAGGTTTTAGAGGACAAATGACAACACACTCCTCTCACACAACCTCCAGAGGTTGTCCGTCTTCCAAAACAATTTCTTTTATTTAGGAAAGCATCAAATTGGCTACATCCATTGTAATTCTGGATCTGACACAACCCGGAATTACACCACATAATATTGGAAATTAGAAACAAACCCCAAAAGTCACATTCCTCAATAACAGAACTAGATTTCACAGATAATCAGAGTTGGACGGGACCTTGTAGGTCATCTAATCCAACCCCCCACCCAAGCGGGAGACCCTACACCATTTCTGACAAATGGCAGTCCAATCTCTCCTTGAAAGTCTCAAGGGATGGTGCTCCCACAACTTCCGAGGGCAACTTCTGTTCCGTTGCTTGATTGTTCTCACTGTCAGAAAGTTTCTGCTTATTTCCAGGTTGAATCTCTCCTTGTTCAGTTTCCATCCATTATTCCTCGTCCGGCCTACAGGTGCTTTAGAAAATAGCTTGACCCTTCCTCCCTGTGGCAGCCCCTCAAATATTGGAAAACCGCTATCATGTCTTCCCTGGTCCTTCTCTTTACTAGACTAGCCAAGCCCAGTTCCTGCAACCATTCATTGTATGTTTTAGCCTCCAGTCCCCTAATCATCCTCGTTGCTCTTCTCTGTACTTTTTCTAGAGTCTCAACCTCTTTTTTATAATGTGAGGACCAAAACTGGATGCAGTACTCTAGGTGTGGTCTTACTAAGGCTTTATAGAGTGGTATTAGTACTTCCCTTGATCTTGACTGTATCCTTCTGTTAATACAACTTAGGATTGCATTAGCTTTTTGGCTACTGCTGCACACTGCTGGCTCCTATTTAGCTGGTCGTCCACTAAGACTCTAAGATCCCTCTCACAGTTCCTGCTATTGAGCCTGGTTTCACCCAGTCTATATGTGTCCTTTGGGTTTTTCTTGCCTAAGTGTAGGACTTTACTTTTCTCTACATTGAATTTCATTTTGTTAGATACAGCCCAGTATTCTAGTCTGTCAAGATCCATCTGGATCTTGAGCCTATCTTCTTGGGTGTTAGCTATTTCTGCCAGCTTAGTATCATCTGCAAATTTGGTAAGTTCCCCTTCGATTCCCTCATCTAAGTTGAAAAACATCAAGTAACGTTTCGGAAGAACTTTTGCCAATAGAAAAGTGCGGATATATTGTGGAATCCGGATGAGCTTTCTCCCCAGGAATTTGGGTATTTCGGCTGCAGAACAGGAAGCGCCCCTAAAACAAAAGGCTCCTTTTGCTTATCTTTTATATGAAGATTCCCATGGAATGAAATAGAAAATAAAGGTCGTCGGGAAATGGGAAAGAGAAGGGGAAGTGTAGAAAAAAGGGGAAACGTTTATTTTCAAGGAAGCAGAATGCAAAGTGAAATTTCAGCCTCAATTCTTCCCTCTACTGTTCATTCTTAGTAAATTTGGTACATTTCTATAAAAAGCAATCCTAATCAGCAAATCCTACAGAGACGGTTTCCCTTCCTTCTGCCTCAAGCACAAAGTCCAGAAGTGGTTTCCAGGTAGAAACACAGCTGGATCTTTTCTTTTCTCTGGTCAAAACAGCTCATCTCGCCCTCTCAGCCCACTGCCTCATTTCTTCCTTCCATCCACCTTCAATCGTGGGGATGGAGGTATATTTCCAGTTTTATATATTAAAAATTCCAACTTGTACTAGCTTGTACAGTAATAAAGTTCCAATTTTTTCTTTCCTTATCCAGTAATTCTAAAAGGTCAATATCTGGTTTTCAATAGATGCAGAGAGATAAATCAAGTTTATACAATAAAAAAACCTAGGAAGGAGATGAAAAAGAAACACTTTCCCTCCAACAGCCAATAGATAAGCAGGGATCCGCACCAGACAAACAAACAGGCAGAAAACCATCCTCCAATCAAGGAACCATCCAGGAGGGAACCACACAATCTCTGGCAGGGCATCTAAACAGGCAGCCAATCCCCTCTCTCTTTTGCACTGAGGATGTTACCCAGCTGGGTAATGAAACGTCTCCAAGCGAACCAAGCACCGAGGGCCCCAACGACCCCAGTTTAACCCAACCTCCAGATATTCTCTTCTGTGGACTGCATCTTCTTTCAAATGCCTGTCCCAGGACCACAAATCCCATCTTCCTCAGCTGACCCCAAGGTTTGTCCATTTCTCTCACCTTCTCCCCCCTCTCCCAATCTTGATCAACTGGATTCTTTGTGGTTCACGACATCCACCTGGTAGAAGCAGCTTTTCCTTCCTCCCCTCTGAACCCCCAGAAAATGGCAGTTCCCTATTGTGTGGGGGGGTGGGGGGGTGGGTGAAACACATATTCCACCTTCTGCTGAGCGTCCAAAATTCAGGGATGGAGGGAATTTATCTGACCTAGTTGTGTAATTCAATGTCTCCAAGGAAACAACCAAGCTCAGAAGCCCCCAAGGACCCCAGAGTTGAACTAAGCTCCAAATAATCTCTCCTGTTGCACTAGGATAGGATAGAATTCTTTATTGGCCAAGTGTGATTGGACACACAAGGAATTTGTCTTTGGAGCATAAGCTCTCAGTGTACATAAAGAAAATAAAATACAATCATCAAGAATCACAAGATACAACAATTAGTGACAGTCATAGGTTACTAATAATCAAGCATACTAGGGAACAAATAAAATATAAATTGTAAACATACAAGCAACATGGTTATAGGCATAAGTTGGAATAGATGGGTAATAGGAAGGATGAGAAGAACTTACTAAGGCTTACTTACTAATTGTGGTGGTCTCCCATGGAAAGAATGAGACACAAGCATGTGTTCTCGGGATGGGAGCCCAGAGTAAATTCCAGTGCTTCCTTTTATTGAGATTTTAGTACATAGTAAGCATAATTACATTGTGGATTACAATAATTAGATATAGTACAGACTTGTTTACAGTTGTCTGGGCTGCTTAATTGTTTCTAGTGTTTGCTTTTAATTTCCTTGCATTATCTCAGTGACCTTTAAGTAGGCATGTATGTATAAAGCATTATATTAATCATTACTCAAGCCCAAGCCAAAGTTTATTCCCACATCTCCCCTGTTTTAGTTTTTTGATGATCACGGATGCCTCGGTAGCTTTTCGCCATCTGCAACAGCAATTCTCCTTCCGTAGGCTTCACCCGACACATTCCTAAAAGTCCAGGGAGACATTGGATACAACAGCATACACAGAGAGAAAATATAATAAGCAATATCACTCCAACAATTAGGTGACAAATCCATGAACCATTTGGCAACCAGGACCAAAGTGCAGACCACACGTCCAGTCCCTCACCCTCCAATTGTAATGGATTCTCCTTCAGGGTTTGTTCCATATGCTGTATAGTAGCTGTAATGTTTGGAGAATAATCAGAGATATACATGCAACAATGCATATGAATCACAGCGCAAACTCCCCCTTGCGCAGCCATTATAGTATCCACCGCATATCTGGTTTGCAGAACAAAGTCACTAATTTTGCCTTGCTCTTCTTCAAGCAGCCTTAGCGTTTTAATGGTGTCTTTAAACATAGTAACTGTCCAATTGTTTAAACGATGCAAATCTCTATAGTTCATCATGACTCCTAAAGGGGGAATAACTCCCCTTGATATTTGTGTCCAGTAGTCATGGGTTAAAACAGAGTTTACTTCCGTTGCAGAACGTGCATTGCGGATATGAGCAGTCCCCAAAGATTTTTGAATGAAATGAGATGGGATTACTTTCCCAAAGGTGCAGACCC